ATACGAATAAATTAATTGAGTTACTAAGTATCAAAATGGTGCGTGGAATATAAACTGAGGCTGGAGCTTTTATTATTGTAGAGCCACCAGACTTATTTGCAAGTGGGATCTAAGGGGCGTAAATAACACACCAATTGGGCTACGTCGATTCCAATGAAGCATATCTCAAGCGCAGCCCTAGCCCGAACTTTAATCAGACGCTAAATAGCCCAACTTATTTTCGTTTTATAGGGAGGTTTGAGAAACTATTATACCATAATTTGTCATGCATACGTAAATACAAATATACCCGCATAAATGCATATATAAATACACACACATACATATAAGCATACATACATAAAGAAATGCATGCATGCATACATGCATGCGTATATCCGAGCTTAGCCAATCCTGAAAGCTACACTTACTTCAGCCTCAACTTCAATCACCCTGAGGCAAGATAGAATTGCGCAAACTCAGGGATTCGGGGAACTACTATTATATCCTTACTAAATAAAGTAGCCAATCAAAAACATGTGCTTCTCCTATATAGTAATCTATTCCAGTAGGAGATAAGCAGATATTTTTTTAGTTAAATAAAGCTAAGAGACAAGGTCATTGCAATAAGCTTTTTAATCAGCAAATGAGGTTCCAGGACTTAAGCCGACATGATCAGGACAAAATACAATGTAACAGCCTCATAGTGCATTACCATTGGCCAAAGAGGCGTTGAATAGAAGGCAATATGGAAGACACGACTTTAAAAAAGGTATTTGTAATGAAGAGCGATGTTGAAGTCAAAATTGTCATTAAAAATATGAATACTGCTAGACTGTAATTTAGTTGTTAAGATATATTAGTAAATCTACAGCCAAGACGTGACTGAGGCCCAATGAGAGAGCAAAGTCGTTGCATCCAAAATAATCTTAAGACTAATATGCTTAAATACATAAGTAGCCTAGTTAACGAATGCGAACATAACTTAAATCTTTTAGATTCTTTCATAAGCAAAATATGAAATAGACTGTAAGAAATACATTAATAATAAAGACCTATCATGCCTTTGAATAAAACATATATCTGTCGAATAAGTTGAAATAATATTATATGTAAATGAAAAGCTGACACAACATAATCACGTAGCCTGAATCAGAATGTTGCTTCAGGATAAGTGACAAGCTGATTCTAAGGCTGACTTTTACGTTAAATACTTTGTGGAAGCTTAAATAAATAACACGTATTAAGCTCTACGTTTAGTTGGTTCATGAATAAATTTAACTCACTCCTTTGTAGGGCCATATTGATAAATCAGGCAAAAAAAGTCTAAATATAAATAATATAAGTGCTTTTAGACTTGTGTTGAGTAAACCTATCCAAATACAACAAAATAAACTAACAACTCCTTGCTAGCTTTGCATAAATCTGCAATAACCCTTCAGGAAAGGAAACTATAAAAATAATAGTATTCAAAATATGGAGCAGTATTAAATAAAGAACTCAGATAAATTGAATATTTTGGAAGTAGTTGAAAAATAATGGGCTAGCAACGATTGAGATGTTTAAAACAAGCCTGAAATTAAGGAACACACTTTTGGCAGTATTAGATAGATCAAATGGGAGGCATCTGTACATACGATAAAAATGAACATAGTAATAAAAGTCAGTTATGTTCAAATTGGGAACTCCACAACTAGTAAGTAAATAAGGTCAAGTAAATAAAGCACAGGGCAACTGGATAAGGGGCATGAATTAAATTGGAAAAGGAAAGCTCTTATAGCATGCATTAAGAGCTGAATGGCGAGCAAGAACAGCCAGAAGACGGTGGCGACTGTGTGATTCTGATTCGATTATGTAAAAAACGGTTATCATCCCAAAATTCCGGGTGCAGGTATATTTTCTCAGCGAGTTCTATAAACATCAAGTCGACACCTTCACCGGTCTTGGCGCTAGCTTCCGTGAATAGCATGCCCTGCCTTCTCGCAAAACTCATGCCGTCTGAAAATGAGACTTGTCGGGGAACCGAATCAATTTTATTGCCAACTAGCATTTTAAATGGCTTGAAGGGGATTGAATATCTTTCCACATCTCTGATCCAAGCGGGTACGTTTTTAAACGTCTCTAATTTAGTTACGTCGTAAACTGAAAGATATTATTAAGCAAGTGCAAATAAAAAAGAGTACAATGAAATTCTAGTATGGAACATTACTAAACGCTGATAAATGTTGGCCAATAAAAGTCAATGTTCGTGATACAATTAGGAAGAAAACAAAATATATGAGACACCGCTGGGGGTGTTGATAAGACCTATGCGAGATCGAAAGTGCAGTCCACCCTGGATGAGAACAAATTTTGGGAAAGCAGGGCTATGTGAAATTCAATGTAAGCGTCAAATCTACTCTTATCATTGTGGGAAAATTCTACTTTCAGTCCTTCATCACCTTAAACGAAATAGTGTGAATAAATCTCATATAAAATAGATGAGATATATACACCCTATTTCGTTTAAGATGATTAAGGACTAGTAGTTGAATTTTTCAACAATTATATGAACAGACCTAACGTTTGCTAAAAGCATTCATCATGAGGCATAGTGGCTAAAGTGCCGAGATTATACACTGAACTGTCATAATTCGAATCCTGCCAGGAGTGCTGATAATACCCTGGGCGAGGTCGAAACTGCAGTCCACACTGGATGAAAATATCCTTTTGGAAGCAAGGCTTCGTGAAATTCATTGAAGTATAAGGTCAATTCATATGAGGGTGGGAAAATTCAATTACCAGTCCTTCATCAACTTAAACGAAATAAGGTAAACACATCTCATATAATTGACACTCAGATATTGACATCGGGATAATCGGGTCGCCCTTGCCATCCCATCCTATAACTAGCAGACTTAAAATTGGTGCACTTACCCGTAACTAGTACTCGGTCTCTATTCAAAAGTCTTCTTTTTTTACATGCTTCCGAGCCTAGACTTCTCAATGGATCTTTGACTAATGATTTGCAACTCTTGCAAATTATAGAACTTTACTCTCATTTCCTTTACTATGTTAGCCATTCCATGGCTACCATTGACATACCATTTTTAGACAAGATATATAGCTAGAAGTTAGACTAAAAAATTGCAATCGAAGGTATGTAGAACAAGATGGTGTGGCCTTTAGTATGCTCGCGGTCTCCTTTCGTTGTTTGACCTTGTTTACGAAACTTGATCATATCGTCAGGAAGACCTAGAGAAATGCACCTTGTCTGGAGTCCATAGTATGCATAATAATTTCCA